AGTGGAATGCTCTTTTAATTAGAGAGGGAACTGTATCCTTGCGAAAATTGCTGCATGAGCAAATTTTGTTAATTTTCATGTCATCCACAGAATGAGCAACCACAAATTAGGGTTAATTGACCTCTTTACATTTTTCTCTATGATACACAACATAATTATAATATAAATACATACACATAAACAAATTAAAGATAACAATTAGACTAAGAATATGAACAGAAGTCTTGAGAAAAATTACTTATTACATTTACGCTTTATTATTTTAAATTTTGCAAATACAAACTAGTTTTGAAAAGCAAAATTGTGATTGCAGATTCTAATTAGAATCTAATTAGAACAATAGTTTGATTTTAATTAATGTGATGGCTGCATATTTTTGCAGTTTTTTTTAACATTCAGCATAAAATTGCTTAATTCTTCAATTCTAATCAAATCATTTAAAAGCAGTCGATTAGTTTTGCATTCTTCATATTTTTTGTCTGTGTTTTCTTAAGTTCCTGCATTTTTAAAAGAAATATTATTGATTTTTATAATTTAAAATAGTTTTAATATATTTTTCTAATAATTTCTTCCTTACTATATGATACAGAAGTGTGCCCAATCTTTAACTTGACACAAGCCAGTTTAGAGTTTAAAAACATTTGGCGAGCCACAGTTATATATTGCACTTTTAATATTTCAGTTATAAACATTGATAATACATAAAATATAAAAATGTGTGCCATAGTATGTTAAAAAATTTAATTATGTACTCTTTATTATACTATTTGTTAAAAATCTATTAAGATGCAAATTAAATGCAGGAAAAGCATATCTTAATGTGAAATCTGACACTGCACATTTATTCTGGAACATATGTTACAGCTAAATTTATGGCGTCATTTGGATATTCATTTGTTACACTGAATCTGAACTCTGATTTTAATAAGTTTGTTGAAAAAACACTTTTGCAGTGAAAATTGATCCAAAGCAGGAGTTTAACTTTTAAAAAGTTCTTTAAAATTATTTTAAAGAGTTAAATCTTTTCTCATTTACGAATATCCAAAATCTGTTTGTGATATTCTTGTTTTCACCTGTAGAAGAGACTGAAAATCAGTTACAGTACAAAGTCTTTAATCCGGACCTCAAAGCTACAAACTTTCTGCGCATGCGTAAATGCATAATGCGTTATAACGGACGGTATAAGCTAAGCTAAAATTATCTATTTCAGTTAAATGTTGCAGATTGCGTTGTTCCTTAATCTTCTAAGTGGATCCGGCTTATTATTTTTTGCAAACTGTTAGAGCAATTTTATAAAAGTAAGCTTGAACTTTCGATTATGTCAAATAGAATTTCCAATTCTGGAGCTGCCAAAGGATCTATTTACAAAGTTAAAGCATGTTTCGTTACCGACACGTTTATATTTATGTTTTTTCACTGCAAAAGTGTTATACAGATTAGCACCGATACCGACACATGTGTCGCCTGAGTCAAAGAAAGTGTATGTAAAGAAGGAAAGGCTCCATAGACGTAATGTGACCTTCGAACTTCGTCATCAACTTCGAGCTTTGGCGCTTTTTGGCAACAGATATTTCATGCATGTGCAAAATAATTATGGCAGATGTAGGAAAAGTTATGTGTGTCTATATCTTTATCTGGGCTAAAAATAGCATTCAGTATTGAAAGTTAACCTGTGTTCTTCACGTATAAGAGGCAGGAAACTTTTTTGAGACCAAATTTAGGAAAAAAAAGTGTCTTATATGCCGTCAAATACGGTATTTAATAACATTCCATAAATATTTTCCCTCTCTAAAAATATCAGACAGATAGGCACAGATTTTTATAAATTTATGTTTTCAATTGTAAAGAGAGGTTTTTTTTTTTTTTTTTTTTTTTTTTTTTTTTTTTTTAGTGCGGGCTACATTTACACTTTTTGGGCACAAATAGATTTAGAAAAATTGATTACACTTACTATGTAGTGTCTCTTTAATAAATTGCTACTGATAAACAAATTTAAAGTAATTATAATATATGCTTATGCTCCATACTTTTATTGTAGGTGTGGGCATTCAGTGATTATCCAGTTTCTAAGTTCTATAAATTGCATTTATTCTTTCGCAAAAACTCTGATAATTACTGAAAGATAAAAAATGTTCAAAATAAGAAAATCCTTGAATTAAAGTAATTGCATGTCTTTAATTACTAGCAAATTCAAAATTTGTAACAATTATGCAACTTTGAGCTATTTTCTTCAAAATAGGCAGGAAGCATATGCATTCAGCATAAGTTTTTGAGCAATAATTTTTAAGCACATTATCTAAAGCAAAATTTGTCATGTGTGGTATCACAAAAGCTGTACAACAGCAATTCTTTTAAGCATTCTAATTCAATTTCATTATTACAGTGCCTTTTAATCATTTATCTCTTGATGAATTGTTGGTTTCACTTTTATCATTAAAAATGTTTCCCTCACCTCCCCGATATTAAATCATCATCACCTCTATACATTGCATTTGAGATGCTTGTTACTTTAGAATATTTTCAGTTGATACCCTGCAATACATTTTCCCATATAGCCTATCCTTATCTTTTTCTGCACTAAAACAATAATTCAGTGTGGTAACATTTTTCTTCTCAAAAAGTGCAGATTTTACAAGGGTAAATTTTTTTCCCTTATATTTCTTCCTGGAAACAGATGCAAGCGTTGCACAAGCATATGTAGTTAAATATAGCCAGCTATTAATTAGATGTTTTATCAGTTGCCAAAAACCACATTCTAAAAAATTCCTATGGATTACATCCAGCCCACAGCACAGTCACAGTCCATCAACATTTTTTCCTACAATCAAACAGTGTGGTAATGTTTTCCTCACAAAAAGTGCTAAAACAGTGTTCATATGTTTCCTCACACTCCTTGCCGAAAAACAAGATACAGATATTAGTTGAGTCTATGGGTATTCTATTTTTTAATTATTTTGTGAGAGAAAGATAAGCTTAATGTAATTCACTTAAAATTTGAAAAGTTTCTCATTACTTCATATTTATATTTATAATAAAGACTAAAATCTGACCTCACAAATTATGGCTTAATAGAAAGATTTTAAATCTTTGTTGGAGAATTTATAATAATGTTTTGAATTGTGACTGACAGAATTCTTGTTTTTGTCTTCAGTTCATTTTCCTTCATCAACAAAACTTTCACTTGCCATTTAGCATGTAAAAGAAGTATTTTAATTCCTTTTTTTAAGAAGGTAAATATTGCATGAGATTTGGCATTCAAGTGTGATGCCTCTCAGAATAATTACATGCTATAAGCAGTTGACGGAAAGGAATGATAAAAGTTGTATCTATTTTCTCCTTTCCATGCAGCTGGGAAGAAAGTATGTGCTTAACTATTGTGGTAAGTAAAGCATACAGGATCATAGATTTATCTATTTTAGTACATTAAAGATTATTTCTAATATAACAAGTAAAATTTATTTCTGCTTAACTCATAGCTTGAGGAAATTGGTATTCTCTTTGTTCAGCATGAAGCTAATTTGTTTAGTTTATGTGCCGTAAATGCAACCTATGTAGGTATTCTTCTAAATTAATTTTATATATTTTTGTCCTCCTTCTGTTAAAATGATAATGTAATTTTTGTTTTTGTTTTCAATGAAAGTGAAGAGGCAATTTGATTTAAGGTAGAGATTATCAAACTTTTTTCATTTCATGCTATGCAAATAAAAATAAAAAATATATGTTCCATTATAAAAGCATTTTCTGACTAAAACATCAATGCATCCTAAATGGAATACTTATAATCAAATATTAAAATTATTTTTAATTTATACAGTCAAAAGTCGTTAATCCGGACACCCATAATCCAGAATGATCTATAATCTGGACCTCAAAGCTACAAACTTTCTACGCATGCATGTGCAGAGGCGTTTACACATGTGCATATGTGTGTGCGCATGCACATAACACGTTTACACATGCACATTTAATGTATAACAGACGGTATAAACTAAGCTAAAATTATCTAATTATCTATTTCAGTTAATGTTGCAGATTGCATTGTTCTTTAATCTTCTAATTGGATCCGGCTTATTATTTTTTGCATACTGTTAGAGCAATTTTATAAAAGTTAAGCTTGAACTTTCGGATTATGTCAAATAGAATTTCCAGATTCTAGTAGCTGCCAAATGGATCTATCTACAAAGCGAAAGCCATGTTTCGAAAGTTCCATTAAACAAAAAGTTGGAATGCTGCAAAAAATGGATAAAGGCATATCCTTTGTTTTTCCAACCATTCCTAAATGTGTTTATCAATTTCACGCTGTTCTGTGGGGGGGGGGGGACATCGCGGTGCACGCAATCGAACTGGAAGTTGAATCTGTCCAGCACTATCCTTTATCTTCAGGGCAGATGATTTTATTTTATTCGGCTTATAATTCCATTACTAAATGTAGTATTTCATCTCAGATGTACTCCATGGCTTTTATGTGATTTAAATCAAATTCCTCGTCATTATAAATATCACGAACACACATCAAATACCGTAATTTCTGGTTGCAATTTTCGCGTAATTTCGATACATTCGATTTCTAAACTTCAAATGTATCAGCTTTACGCATTTCTACTCATTGAAAGAAATGTTTAATAAAGTAAACAAATAAATATTAAGCTTTTTTTTTTTTTTTTTTTTTGTAAATTTTGATATTTGTTACATCATAATTGCTCTTTATTTCATAAATATCGGTTTCATATTTTTAATTTTATAATTTCTGCATGCCATCTTACTAGATTTAAACTGATGATCTATAATCTGGAAAAACTGATAATCCAGAATCGCCGAAGTCCCGCCGAGTCCGGATTAAAGACTCTTGACTGTAATAGATATACAAAATTCGTAATATATTACATAAAGGTTTTATCACCAAGTAAGAAATAAGACAAGGCTATTATTAACAAGTAAAATATAATGCATTTTTAATAAATATATACAAATCTTTACCATTGTACGCCATAATAAGCCCCTTTTTTAAAAAGTATATCTTTATTATTAAATTATTACAGGTATTGCAAATCATGTATTACAAGTACATGCTTTTTAAGTATTAGAAGACCGTATCAGTAGGCAAATATGGACAAGTAATACTATAAATTCATGAAACAAATGGTAAGTTTATCTAGTTGTTAACGGTCCATATTTACTTGCTAGCGTTTCATACATTTCAATTTGTTGTCTAGTGATAGATGGCTGCATGCTTCTCAAAACGTCAACAAAATTTTCTTCTGTGATAAATTTTGCAGATACGTCTTGCCTTAGGGCATTCAATGCTGCCTGTAATAAAAAAATTTTTAAAAGTAGTTTAATATTAATTCTCCCCAATTGCCAGTTTCACCATTTCCAAAGCCTTCTTATTAGAAAATAAAATTGTGCTCCTGTTTCCAATAAATAAATAAAAGTTTAATACAAAAATATAAATGTAAAAAAAGGGGGGAATCAAAGCCACATTGTAGAGTTAATCATCTTCCCCTCCTAATCATACTCTAATTCAAGATTTCTCAAACTATGGTACATGTACACTGCGAAAAAAAAAAAGAGAGGGGAGGGGTAGTTTTATATCTCCCATTCTACTGGACTGATTGACGGAATTCAAATTGCGATTTTCATGTCTCGAAAGCGTGACTTAGGATATACATTAGATTTATATATAGCATCATTCTAACATAGGTATTTTGACACAAAATCGGACTTTTCTGAAATGACATGTCTTTTTTTTTTTTTTTTCCATATTTCGATTTTGACTCAAATTATGCCAGACTACTAAGTTTTGTAAAAATCAAAAATCGCATGAGTAGTTTTTAGAAAATTAGCTCTCAAAATTTTAGGTACTCAATGTTAATTGAATTTGGCATATATTTAGTAATATCTCATTTTTTATTAAACTTTTTTTATTCTTCCTTTCACATTTTGAAATTTAGTTTCATTCCAAATAAAATTCACCCATTTTTTATTTCTTTTTAAAATTTGTATTTTTAAATAATTTTTATAAATTTTTCCAAAAAAAAAATTGAATTATAACCTATAAAAGTTTTACCACCATCTTAAAGTAGGTGTATTTCTAAGCATACCTACAAAAAATTAGACCTTTTTTCATTCAAAATTTTCTAAGATATGCACGAATTTACGTATTCGCGTGGTTTGAAATTTGGCATCTTTTTTTTAGCAATAATAACACCAAATGTGGTTTATGGATTTTGTTACAGTGAATTGCCACAGCTATTTTTAACCTTAAATTTCAAATAAATTTTTACAGAGAATTAATTATGTGAAAATTTTCCCCTCAGTGATGCATAATAAATGTTTATTAATACTATATATGAAATGCTATTTTTTAAATTGTAGATGATATTCAAATTTTTAAAGTTTTTTAAAATTTCTTTATTTTTTCCTCTTTATATATATATATATATATATTTGTAAGAGTAAATTTTTACCTTCACCGTTTCACTTCATTTAAATTTAATTGTCTAAAATTGACAAAAGTTCGTTTGATGTTTATTTTCACAAAATTTTTAAGCAACAAGACGTTGACACTTTGGGTCATGTCCCAGCTTTAAAAAACATATATATAAACATAAATTTTTGCATTAATCCTCTTAGAAAGAATTTTTTAAGTAGTAATTTTCTCTTGTGTTGTAGATTAAATAAAAAACATTTTCTTTAATATAGAAATTTTTAGGCTTAAAAACTCTAAATAATATAATTAAGATTTTTTGCACCCGATATAAGAATTGGGTCACTTAGTGGTACAGGAGTGCTGCTGGAGTGGTTTATTTCTTTCTCATTTAACAAAAAATTTTTAATTCAAATACTTATGCTTTGGACTTTGCTTTAAACTTTATTTGTAGTTACTAGAAGCTGTCTTCAGCTGAAATGCATTTAATGAAAATGATATTTTAAAAAATTTGACAAAAATGCAAAATTTATAGAAGTGTAAATAATCTAAAAATCTTAATTTTCTTGTGTCAGTACTGAAAACAAATGTAGAAGGAAAGAAGGAAATTAAGGGCAAAAAAGCGAAAATTTAAAGGAGAATCTACGTCAAGGAAATTGGGTGTTCAAAGAGAAAACACTTGGACGTGTACACCAGCAAATAGCAGTAATTGAGTTTGCGCTAACAGAAAAGACAAAAACGATATCATTGCAGATTAAAGTGAAGAATGATTGATTTTCAACTAAACGGTTGTATAAATTTAAATTACTTCATAGAATATCATATCATATCATAAATGGAGCATCCCATGATTTCTCATTCGAATTATTTAAAGATTCCATAATTTATCCAGTGACATATATAGATATCAGCAAAAGACGTTTTCCCTCATGACGAAACCACTCTTTCCTTTCATCTCGCACGCCTTCATAATGCTTAGCCTGCAAAAACTGATAAAGGTTCTGACCAAATACTGATGAATACTGATTTGGATAATTAAGTTACGGCAAAGTCAGGCTATCTGCCTTAAAGGAGGGATGCCTTAGTGAAGAACTTTCTAAGCGAAGACAGCTCGTATACACATTACACATGATAAAAACCACAAAAACGGCCATGACACCAGCCCATTCGCCGGGATTCGAACCGCGGAGCTAACTACCAGTATTCAACGACTTTAACACTCGGCCGTTTGTAGGCCCTTTTGAAATAGAAAGTTAGATGCTTTTTAATATACTTGCAAAATGCCTGAAAAAAAAGAGCAAGCTATTAAGAAGAAAAAACAAATTTTTGCATAACATTTAGTATTTTTAAAAATTTAAACTCTTTTAATTTTATGATATTTGATTCTTGTGATTTCAAATATAAAATATTTGACTAAAATATGAATAACATTTTAAGAAATTAAATATAGGATGATAAAATTGTGTAAAGCAATGGGCACAATTATAAAACTGTAAAGCAATGTATGCTAGTTATCCCAAATTAAAATGTTGGATATATATCTCTCTTATTTATATAGCTTTTCTGAATGGAACATTGAAAGGTGTGTTAACTGTGCTTTACTGTATTTTCTCTTTTAATATATGCAGTTTTCAAACGCTTCCTAGTCTGAGTCACAAAGTATTCTTCCGAAAAAAATGCAATTCAAATAAATGAAATCAAATTCTAGAAAATTTATATTAATAAGTTTATTTAAAAATGCACAGTTCGAATGGATAAATAGAAAATTTTAAAACAATTATCTGAAGAGACAATGCAACACAGAAAGTTAAAATAAAAGTCTAAAAATTCCAAAATTACCTAAAATAATTACTATAACTTTAAAAAATATAGTATAAAGAAAACTATTTAAAAAAAAATAATAAATGATGCACCTTTTATTTAAACTACACAGTTTGAATGGGAAAATAGAAATTTTTAAAACAGTTATTTGAAAGAAACCATGCAACTTGATTGAACAATTAAAATGAAATTCGAAAAAGAAAAAAAAAAAAAAATAAATAATGACATAAAAATATCATATAAAGAACATTATTTGAAAGATGAAAGAAAGAACTATGTGACTTTATTTCCTCTCACACACAATGTAAAAAGGAAAATAAGCTGCCATATATTAAGAAGTTCGTTAGTTTATGAACTATTCTTGACGCAAACTGAGAAAAAAAGCGCCAATACAAATTTTGAATTTCTCCATACATTTCGCCCCAAATTTTACAAAATTTAATATTTTTAGGCATAACTTGAATCCTAGAATCGAAATATGTAAAAAAATTGATATGTTATTTCAGAAAAAGTCCGATTTTGTGTCAAAATACCTATGTTAGAATAGTGCTATATATAAATCTAATATATATCCTAATTCGTGCTTTCGAGACATGAAAAATGCAATTTGAATTTTGTCAAACGGCCCAATAGAACAGGAGATACAGAACTGTCCCCCTTTTTTGCAGCAGTGTACCACTAATAATGTATTACATTATTTTTAGTGGTATGATTTTTACATAAAAAGATTTAACTGAATATTCAAAATGAAAGTAAAATGGAACCACTTTTAACATTTTGTTTTAATCCTTATTATTCTGTTACACACACATATATACATCATTTTTTGTATCTTTTCCGAAATCAGTGCCTACAGCAACAGCCCATTGGCTACATGCTGATTACAACTCTCAAGTTACTACTGAAATGAATAGTAGAGTTTCCTAAGAGCTGTGCTTAGAAATCATAGCATCACTCCAGTTCACCTTTTCATTTACATCACACTCTGATAAATGCATACAAACTTAGACCCAAGCACATTAGTTCATACCAACATTGTGAAGAAGGACCAATTAGAATAGAATTTGTCATATCACATTTTTGTGTAATTTATTTACTTACATTTTAGGCCCAATTTTGCTGTAACAGACAAATGGCTAGGAACAAGAAAATCAAAGAGAAATAGTTGGTCAAAGATAGTAACACAGTTAGCATTTTAACCACTTGCCACTTTTGACCGTACACCATATGTTCGTTCACTTATCATTTCTAATTCTTGATTTGGCCGTACATCCAGATTTATTCCACCGATTCCTTTTCTGTTTCTCCCGTATTTTTTCTCTCTGAGTGTTTTTAGTTTAAAATTGAAGAATCTGTTTATACATAATGATAGTTATCCATTATATTGATTTGGAAAACCAGTTTTATCTGGTTAGTAAATGGTTCTGTGATATTAGAAAGGCGAGTATATTTGCCAATATTATTAGGGAGTGTTTTTGTAGTATTGAAAGAATTTTTATGTTGTATTACTTACATTAAAATTTATATCCTGCAATAATGGATGATTCAGAAAGAATGTCAGTTAGTGATTCTAAACTGGAATCTGAAATATCTATAAACAATTTGGGAAGTATTCAGAATTTCTAAGACAATTCTGATTTCAATTTTAGTGACGACGAAAATGATGACCTTAGCCAAGCAAGAAACGTTTACGAAATTGATTGTAAGAATCCTCTCGCTCCTCCTCCGAGATTTCCATTCACTAGTACATTTTAAATTCATTTAGATTTTGATGACAGTTCTGGTAAATTGCAATATTATGAAGCTTACATAGTTTTGATTGATTAATTAATTTGATTGTGTACAAAACAAATCATTATGCTGAACAAACTATTGGAAGCATTCCAGAAGTAAAAAGTGGGAACCAGCATCAAAAGAAGAAATTCAAATTTTTATCGCTCTGATTATTATTCAAGGCATTGTCAAAAAACCAACAGTTGAACAATATTGAAGCAAAAGACACTCCAACTTAATTTTTCCCCAGAGTTATGTCTTACCGAAGTTTCAATCTAATTAACCG